TACACTGCCGGCTCTTCCCTCTCTGAGAAATTTTTGGGAAAACCACTAAATTTTAATAAATAATACCTCAAACTAAAAGTTAGGATAATACAATTGACATTGCTGGATTCCTTGTAAGACCAGGAATATTTTGAATATAAATGTCATATTTTGCACAAAAGATAACATAGTTACCTAGAGAAAAAATTTTATCTAAAATTTATGTTAATGCAAAATATATGATGTTTATATTCAAAATGATCACCAATTATAAGAATTCCTGCAATGTAAATTTTCTGACGGGTAATTTGTATGAATTTTATGAGCTAAAACAAATATCTTCAGTTAATAAAAAAAAATAATCTTCCGACACTATCTGTCAATCAAGTACCCCACCTTGCCTCCCCCCTCTTCCAACCGCGCGGTCAGTCCCAACCCTCCCCCACCCCCACCAATCCTCCCTTCCAGAGTTTTTAACATTTAGTATTAAATAATACCTCAGATTAAGTTTGGATAATATAATTGACATTGCTGGATTCCTTGTAAGACCAGGAATATTTTGAATAAATGTCATATATTTTTGCCAAAAGATAACATAGTTAATTTGAAAAAATTTTTATCTAAAATTTGTATGTCTAATGCAAAATATGATGTTTATATTGAAAATGATCACCAAATTAGAATTCCAGCAATGTAAAATATATTCTGACGAGCAATAAGGTATGAATTTTATGAGCTAAACAGGCAGTCAGGCAGGGTGGCGGGTGGGGAGCAAATCTAAAATAGCGTCTCGAGCCGGACACTCACGCGTATATGTGGAAAAAATCCGGTTAAGTGAAAGTTCAGCTCTGGCGAGAGCACGGCGTATGATAAAACGCGTTAAGTGAAAACCAGCGTTAGGCGAGAATATCTGTATTTATTTCTGACAATGAAATGTAATATTTTTGCTGAAATAGCGTACGTATTACTGTATAGTGGAAAGTGGGATAAAATCATGACAAAAACAATGACTTTCGCTTTCTTCGTTGAAAGATGTTACGTAGTCGCCTTTTCGAATTTTTCAGTTAAAACCTTTATTATTACAATATCTTCATCCTAATTCACTTGTGATCTAACAGTTTTTAACTGAAAATGATTAAAACACGTTGCCAATCAAGCTGATCTGGCAGAGCCGGCGTAGGCTTTGTGTTTTGCATCGGCCCTTCTTAAGCAGCAATTTTTTAAATACGTCTTGTCAGTGTGTTACGGTATATTTTATTTTCTTGCTTCTTATTTTCCAGAAATATGACAGGTTTGTATATACAGTATTACCCTTCGCGGTTCATAACAGCGTTTTATCATAAACTATTTCATGATAATATTTCTTTCCCTGCCTGACTGCCTGTTTTTAGCTCATAAAATTCATACAAATTACTGACCAGAATATAATTTACATTGCTGGAATTCTTATAATTTGGTGATCATTTTGAATATAAACATCATATATTTGCATTAGACATAAATTTAGATAAAAATTTTTCTCAGATAACTATGTTATCTTTTGTGCAAAATATATGACATTTATATTAAAATATTCCTGATCTTACAAGGAATCAGCAATGTCAATTATATTATCCTAACTTTAGTTTGAGTTTATTTATTAAAATTTAGTGGTTATCCCCTCTCCCTTGGGACGGTTGGTGGGGGTGGGGGAGAGGAGGACCGACCGACCATCTGTTACCCGTGAAAAATTATTTTTTTATTAACTGAAAGATATTTTAGCTCATAAATTCATACAAATTACCGGTCTGAATATAATTTACATTGCTGGAATTCTTATAATTTGATGATCATTTTGAATAAACATCATATATTTTGCATTAGACATACAAATTTTAGATAAAATTTTCTCAAATTAACTATGTTATCTTTTTATTACAAAATATATGACATTTATATTCAAAATATTCCCTGGTGAGAATCACGTAATGTCAATTATATTATCCTAACTTTAATCTGAGGATTATTATTTAATACTAAATGTTAAAACCCTGGAAGGAGGATTGGTGGGGGTGGGGGGTTGGGACCCCGGCAGGTTGGAAGAGGTGGGGTATTCTTTGATTGAGGATATAGTAAGTGAAGATTATTTTTTTATTAACTGAAGAATATTGTTTCAGCTCATAAAATTCATACAAATCCGGTCAGAATATAATTTACATTGCTGAATTCTTATAATTTGGTGATCATTTTGAATATAAACATCATATATTTTGCATTAAACATACAAATTTTAGATAAAATTTTTCTCTAGGTAACTATGTTATCTTTTGTGCAAAATATATGACATTTATATTCAAAATATTCCTAGTCTTACAAGGAATCCAGCAATGTCAATTGTATTATCCTAACTTTAGTTTGAGGTATTATTTAAATTTAGTGGTTTTCCCCAAAATTTCTCTGAGGAAAAAGCCGGCAGTGTAGTGTGAGGAGTTGAGTCCATTATTTGAATGGACATTAACTGGCGACTGTATTTCTCTATTTCTCTTAAGTATTAATTGTGTGCATGTACCATCATAAAATTAAGATGTTATTTTTACTACAACATAGGTATGTGCCTTCAAAAAGTGGAGTTTGGGGTTGGGGCGGTTTCTATTGGAATTAATCATATGTTCTGTTGTTCATAACCGGGACCCTCTGGGTTCAATTGACCGCGTTAAGTGACTCAACTGTAATACAATGTTACGGTACTTTTAATTTACAAGTATTCATTTTTAAAAATATAGAAGACACCAAACAAATACCAGTACTACGGTTATTTGCGTGACTCTCCCGCCAAACAAGACCAAACAGCTGGTACTCTCTCCCTCAGCCCTACCAAAAATAGCCCAACCACATCTTTCTTAATTATTCTCTTCCAATTTCTCACTTTAACTGGTATTTTTTACTTCATATTGCCTACATCAGATAAACTACAGTAATTGAGGTTAGACACTTATAAATTTGATTACCGGGTCCTGGCAGGTGCCGTTAGAACCACCTGACCCTACCAACAGTGTTGCAAGTCAGACAGCATTTTTTTAATCATCCATGTGCACGAGAAAGGATGGATGGATGAAGGCGGCATACAAATATGGCTTAAAAAAGTCTGAACTTTAGACCAGGGGGACTGCGCAAAGAAAAAAGTCTTCTTGTGTGGGATATGTTTTGGTCACATCTTGTTGACAGTGTTACTGCTGGGATTAGGAAGGAAAACACTGATACAGCTGTGATTCCTGGTGGATTAACAAGTCTTGTCCAACCACTGGATGTTTCCATAAACAAACCATTTAAAGATGCGGTAAGAGTGAAGTGGAACAACTGGATGATAGAAGGCGATAGGACATACACAAAGGGAGGCAACATCCAAGCTCCATCACTAGCAACATTATGTGAATGGATTGTAGAGGCCTGGGATGCAATCAGACCAGAAATTGTGGTGAAATCTTTTAAGAAATGTGGGATTTCGAATGCTCTTGATGGAACAGAAGACGACTTGTTGTGGGATTATGAGGCTAATGAGAGCGTGAATGAGGATGAAGATATTGATGATCCTATGGCTGATGATGGTGTTGATCCATATGACGATGCTGTTCAAGGAGAGGACTGGGAGGAGCTGTTTGGTGCTGCAGATGATGACAAGGAAAATGATTTTGATGGATTTTAATGAAAATATTCAGAAATATGGTATCGTAGTATTTATTCAAGTCAATTAGGATAGAATATTATTGTAATTCAACAGTTTTTAACTGAAAACCATTCGAAAAACGATTACGGCAAAATCTTTTGAACGACGAAAGAAAGTGAAAGTCATTGTTTTCGTCACAATTTTATCCCACTTTCCACTGTAATACGTACGTCTTTTCAGCAAAAATATTACATTTCCATATTTATTTCTGAGAATATATTCATTCAGGCACAGTTAAGGTAAAATATACTTGTGATGTAATATTTTAATGAAAATATTTATAAATAAGGTATTGTATTTTTCTTTTGTTTCAAATTTAATTAACAAAGATTGATGTTTCAAATTTAATTAAAAAAAATTTATGTATCTATAAATAAACTTTTAAAAATGAATACTTTATGTTTTACATACTCCTGTGCATACCATACCATGCATTTGGCTACTTTGGGCTTGCTATGATGACGCAAGAGATCTGCCCTGGCAACTGTACCGACACTCACAGCGGGCGGTGCGTTGGTGCATCGTTTCCATTGTTTACTGGTAGTTACTGGTAAATTTTTTTCAACCTAACGAAACTATTACCCGTATAGAGGTCGACCCCCAACTTTTTGCCCAAAAATTTGGTCTTAAGAACTCGTGCTATACACGGGTATATATATATATATATATATATATATATATATATATATATATATATATATATATATATATATATATATATATATATATATATATATATATATATATATATATATATATATATATATATATATATATATATATATATATATATATATATATATATATATATATATATATATATATATATATATATATATATATATATATATATATATATATATATATATATATATATATATATATATATATATATATATATATATATATATATATATATATATATATATATATATATATATATATAATTATAGAGGAACATGCGTTTGAGGTGGTGCCAAGACAGAAATGTTTTAATTACGCGGTAAATTTCATCATTTACGCGGGAAGCGGCACCGGAAGGGTGAGCACAATGTTGCCCAGTCATCAAAACATTACCGACTTCTTCACCCGCCACCCACCACAGCCGGCCCAAGTCAGTGATAGTGAGGATATGGACTTTGAGGGGTTTAACAAAGCGGCCCTGCAAGCCTCTGTGGTGGATAGTGGTACAGGTGATACAAGTGATACAGGTGAGGGCCAATAATCTGCCCTCTGCCTCAGAACCAACCCCCCATACCCATGTGCCCAGCCATCTTTTCTACTAACGTAAGTGTTAAAAAACCTAATATTATTGATATTTCTGAATCACTCCTAGAGAGGCAGTGGCCGTCATCTTGGCCCAGTTCGTTGCTCTAGATAACCACTCCAAATTATCCCTGGAAGAAACATCTAGGTATAATATGGGGTTCATATAAACACAAATTTGTCTCCAAAAATGAAAATTGTTCTTTTATCTTTTTGAAGCTTCTTCTTACTAATAATACAGAATGTGGGTGGAGCTGAGAGAGTAATTGGAAGTCCTACATATAATGATGGCAACTGGGACACCATACCAACGGGTAATGACGGCTAACTCACACAAGTGATGATGATAATGAAGATGAACACTGAACACCCTCCTTAGAGCCACACAAAATAGAACTGCCATACAGAAGCTCAGAAACACTCTCTTCTTTACTTTGAGATCTTCCTCCCCCAGATGGTGACTTAACTCCTTGGGAGAAACGTTTCCTCTCAAAACATTCGCCCAATTGTCCAAGACTGATATGGTTCACAGCTGGAGCAAGGAACATTACTCTAAGACCGAGCACTTGGCTCTCCCTCCGAGCCTGAATAAGGTGGGCTGACTAACACCACACTGTACACCCCTATGGTCTGCGAGGACTTTGTTATCAGACTCACCATTTGTCAGGGGCTCACCCAGGGGGGTTTCCTGGTTGCCCAGAACTTCCCCTGCAGCCAGGAACCTGACCTCACCCTAGTAATGAACACATTAAAGAGGACCTGGTGCACTTTGTGGAGTGTGATAATGGAGTAACTGGCAGAATTTTACCAGAGAAAATGACAGAGCTGGCACCATGGCTGGCAGCAACAAGGGGACAGTAGCTATCATTAAGGAGACCAACCCCTTGGCCCTCTGCTCATCACATGCCCTCAACCTGGCTGTTGTTAAGTCCATCCAGATCACCAGTATCAGGAACATGATGGACAGGATCTCAACCTGTATCATGGAAACACAAGCTTGAAGAACCTGTATTTTACACGTTGGGTGCCACACTTAGATGCCCTAGAAACCTTTGTGGAGTTACAACCCTCGGTGGTGGCCTGCGCGGAGGGTGGTCCTGGCAGCTGGTCCAGACTCACTTAGGCGCTGCTGCTCACCACCACAAACTTCATTGTTTCCCTGGTCATCACAAACAATGAACCATCCTACCTAAAAGGTGTGACCACTAGCCTTCAAGCAGAGGCCAAGGATATAGTTGAGGCCAGCAGAGAAGTAAACTGTGTGAAAACAGCACTACAAGATGTCTGAAACAACATGGATGATCACTACACTGAATGGTTTCTTCAGGCATAACAAATGTGTGAGGCTGTAGGTGTTAAACCTTCCATGCCCAGACTCTGCAAACACCAACGACACTGAGACAACACGTCAGCTGATGGACCAGACCAATACTACAGAACAGTGGCCATTCCACTCCTAGACCATCTCCTGACAGAGCTGGAGATGAGGTTTACCCCCCTGCACCAGAAGACCCTCCAAGGACTCGACATCATCCCATCCACCTTAGTAACTCTGACCACCAGCAGAAGAAAACAAGAGCTGGTTGACCTCTACTGGGAGGACCTGCCATCTTCTGGTAGCATCAAGAGTGAGGTACACACCTGGCATGTCAGGTGGGAGAAAAAAGCCAAAGAAGAGGGCCTCACCAACTACACTGATCACCACCCTCTCTCAGACACCAGGTTCCTTGTTCCCCAATGTGAGGTCCCTGCTCATTATCCTGTACACCCAGCCAGTAACAACATGCTCTGCTCAAACATCTTTAAGTGAACTGAAAATAATAAAAACACCAATCACAACAACAATGAGCAAAGAGAAACTGACAGGCCTGAACACTACTGCACTTGAACCAAGATATTCCAGTGGACATAAACCAACCAATTGACAATTACAAAGAAAAATCCCAGGAGAATGAAATGTGCAAATATACTGTACTGAAAAGTATGGTAGACTCTGCTGCCATATGGCATCACCAAAACTGTGACCAAGTCCCAGGTTGATGAGCTGACTTTCTGCCTCATTTGCACACAATTGCAGGGTCTCAATTATTGCTCTTACTCTGATAACACAACATACATACAATATCTCTTTTATTTTTTATTTATTTATGATCTTTCATTATTATTATTAATTATATTTTTAAATATATTTTAAATATATTATTATATTTTTGCCATGATGTTCAGGGATCCATACTCCTAATTTTTCCACAATTCAAACAGTGGTTTTGTCATCAAAAATTAAAATAAGGCAAGTTTAGCTGTAATAAAAAACCTTCATCCTGGGTGAGGTAACATGTGTGTTGGTTCACGTCTATCACTACAGTGGGTGAGGTAACATGTGTGTTGGTTCAGGTGTATCACTACACTGGGTGAGGTAACGTGTGTTGGTTCATGTGTATCACTACACTGGGTGAGGTAACATGTGTGTTGGTTCATGTGTATCACTACACTGGGTGAGGTAACATGTGTGTTGGTTCATGTGTATCACTACACTGGGTGAGGTAACATGTGTGTTGGTTCATGTGTATCACTACACTGGGTGAGGTAACATGTGTGTTGGTTCATGTGTATCACTACACTGGGTGAGGTGTCTGTTGGTTCATGTGTATCACTACACTGGGTGAGGTAACATGTGTGTTGGTTCATGTGTATCACTACACTGGGTGAGGTAACATGTGTGTTGGTTCATGTGTATCACTACACTGGGTGACGTAACATGTCTGTTGGTTCATGTGTATCACTACACTGGGTGAGGTAACACGTCTGTTGGTTCATGTGTATCACTACACTGGGTGAGGTAACATGTGTGTTGGTTCAGGCGTATCACTACACTGGGTGAGGTAACATGTGTGTTGGTTCATGTGTATAACTACACTGGGTGACGTAACATGTGTGTTGGTTCATGTGTATCACTACACTGGGTGAGGTAACATGTGTGTTGGTTCATGTGTATCACTACACTGGGTGAGGTAACATGTGTGTTGGTTCATGTGTATCACTACACTAGGTGAGGTAACATGTGTGTTGGTTCATGTGTATCACTACACTGGGTGACGTAACATGTCTGTTGGTTCATGTGTATCACTACACTGGGTGAGGTAACATGTGTGTTGGTTCATGTGTATCACTACACTGGGTGAGGTAACATGTGTGTTGGTTCATGTGTATCACTACACTGGGTGAGGTAACGTGTGTTGGTTCATGTGTATCACTACACTGGGTGAGGTAACATGTCTGTTGGTTCATGTGTATCACTACACTGGGTGAGGTAACATGTGTGTGTTCATGTGTATCACCACACTGGGTGAGTAACATGTGTGTTGGTTCATGTGTATCACCACACTGGGTGAGGTAACATGTGTTGGTTCATGTATCACTACACTGGGTGAGGTAACATGTGTGTTGGCTCATGTGTATCACCACACTGGGTGAGGTAACATGTCTGTTGGTTCATGTGTATCACTACACTGGGTGAGGTAACACGTCTGTTGGTTCATGTGTATCACTACACTGGGTGAGGTAACATGTGTGTGTTGGCTCATGTGTATCACTACACTGGGTGGTAACATGTGTGTTGGTTCATGTGTATCACTACACTGGGTGAGGTAACGTCTGTTGGTTCATGTGTATCACCACACTGGGTGGCGTAACATGTCTGTTAGTTTATGTGTTTCACCACACTGGGTGAGGTAACATGTGTGTTGGTTCATGTGTATCACTACACTAGGTGAGGTAACATGTGTGTTGGTTCATGTGTATCACTACACTGGGTGACGTAACATGTCTGTTGGTTCATGTGTATCACTACACTGGGTGAGGTAACATGTGTGTTGGTTCATGTGTATCACTACACTGGGTGAGTAACATGTGTGTTGGTTCATGTGTATCACTACACTGGGTGACGTAACATGTGTGTTGGTTCATGTGTATCACTACACTGGGTGAGGTAACATGTCTGTTGGTTCATGTGTATCACTACACTGGGTGACGTAACATGTGTGTTGGTTCAGGTGTATCACTACACTGGGTGAGGTAACATGTCTGTTGGTTCATGTGTATCACTACACTGGGTGAGGTAACATGTGTGTTGGTTCATGTGTATCACTACACTGGGTGAGGTAACATGTGTGTTGGTTCATGTGTATCACTACACTGGGTGACATAACATGTCTGTTGGTTCATGTGTTTTACCACACAAAGAAAAAATAATATATTATCATAGTTTACAGAAAAAATATATAAATTTAGTGTTGTTGTTATGAGTGAGCATGAAAGAGCAGCCTTGGTGTGCAGGCAGCAGCAGTCTTTACATAATAAGAGAAGTGCCACAAATCAACCACTAGTTTCTCTTTATTAATGACGTAAGAAATAACCTTTCTTTACATAATGTGTTGTGTTAGGTGGCTGGATGACCCAAGAGACACTACTGTTACCATATTGGTGCCCTCAGTCTTCTGGGGTTAACCTTCACCATGTAAGACATATGCTCATCACCCGACTCACCTGAGGAACTGGTCAGACGTGGTGCCACAGTGCATGAAGGCGTTGGCTATGACCGTTGCTGTGTGACAGACGGACGCTCGCACGGCCTCCTTACTGTGTCTCAGTATCAACATGTCAGTGTGGTTGTTGGCTATGAGGAACTGTAGATGCTGCTCGATGGTCATCTCCCCACTCAGGATCCTGGCCAGCTTCTCTACCCTATTTTGATGTGTCTTCTCCAGCTCTGTCTGTAGAGATAATTATTGGGTTAAACTCATAGTCAGTATATTTGTAAAAAAAAAAAAAAAGAACAAAGTTAACAATGTCTCCAATTAGTGTGTAACAACGGCAAGATCCTCCCTCACTTCCCGGGTGACCCCAGCACAAACCACCGTCGTTAGTTTGACGGGTTGTTGTACGGCGAGGGAGCAGAGTTGTCTGGTCACTGTACCAGGAAAGGGTGGCTGCCCAGAAGTAACATAGACGACTGCTGTATACATGACGACACCCCACTTCTTCACCTTCGACGGTCGCCGGTACGATTGGCCCGGCTACTGTAACTACTCCGTGGCTCAGACCGACATGACTCATGACCCCGAGGCTGGTGTCTTCGGTGACTTGGGAGCGCGTTTTGGAGGACCTTCCTGCCTCGGACGCACCACTTTTGAGGACGATAAACACACCGTGATATCATTGGGCTCCAGCGTGTTCAACCTACTGGTGAATGGTGATCTCTACATGGTGCCTGTTATTGGGGGTGGAACAAATGTGGTGTTCATCCAAAGTTCACTCCGTTCTGGCGCGGCGTAACGGCCAGTGTACTATGTTACTAGGCTCCTCCAAGCTTGTGGTGCAGCACTGCCACCATCGTCTGGACGTGTGGGCTCACCCCACACACGCAGACAACCCGGACGGTCTGTGTGGACACTTCACCTTCTACGATGCCGATGACTTCACTAGCAGGCAGGGCGACGTACACCCGCCCGGGTGCTTTCTGTCCACTTAACCCCATTCCCAGAGGACGCAGGACCAGAACGACCACAGGCGTCGGCAAGACAAGGGTCGTCAACCTCCCAGAGTCGATCGTCTGTGCCGAGCAAATGAGCGGCAGCTGGCCAGATACAGGAGTATGTGTGAAGAGTACTTGAGGTCCATCATTGACAAGAACACTAGGGCTCATCATGGCACTAAGGCACTTTGAGATTTATATATACAGTATCCTGCTAAACACCCTGTAAAGGTGTTCACTGATCATAATCCATTGACTTTTCTTGAGCAAATGAGTAATAAGAATCAAAGAATTTTAAGGTGGAGTCTGGAGTTGAAAAGATATAGCCTTGATATCCACCACATCAAAGGTAAAAGAAAATGTATTGGCAGACACTTTGTCCAGAGGCCGATATTGATTGTCTCGACATTTGTCAACTTAATATTGCAGAATTAGACTAAAGTTGGCAATTTTGGGGTATGTTATAATCTCCATATTTCACAATGTGTTTTAGAAGTTTACTAATATAATCTTATTCACCCAATAGAGTGTTGGTGAAGGATATTTGGTAATTATGTTTTATGGTGATTTATTTTATCAGTTATATTGTTTGTATAAACCAGTGACATGTACAGATTCTATACTGAACCCATCTCTTGTTAAAAAAAAGATGTCTAATGACACCTTTTTTTTCTTAAACAAGGGAGGTATTACGAAGCTCGAGGACCAGACCGGTACCCGACCATCGACCCGTGTTTGGCCGCTGCACGACCGCCGCTCCACCCCTGTTACTTGATCTCCCGACTCGATGTTCCGGATCTCGAGTCATGGATCAGGGATACATTGAATGGCCCATATCTTGGGCTCATGGTTAGGCTCTCCGGAGCTCCGTATCTGTGTTGTTCAGATCTCGAACGGAGTTGTGCAGTGCACCAGGGAGGAGGGCAGAGCATTCCAGGACGGACAAGGGTGTGGAGCTGGTGGTCGCTGGTCGGTGGAGCTGGTGGTCGGTGGAGCTGGTGGTCGCTGGTCGGTGGAGCTGGTGGTCGCTGGTCGGTGGAGCTGGTGGTCGGTGGAGCTGGTGGTCGCTGGTCGGTGGAGCTGGTGTCGCTGGTTGGTGGAGCTGGTGGTGGCTGGTGGGGGTGGAGCTGGTGGTGGCTGGTTGGTGGAGCTGGTGGTCGCTGGTTGGTGGAGCTGGTGGTGAGCGGTGGAGCTGGTGGTCGCTGGTCGGTGGAGCTGGTGGTCGCTGGTCGGTGGAGCTGGTGGTCGCTGGTTGGTGGAGCTGGTGGTCGCTGGTCGGTGGAGCTGGTGGTCGCTGGTTGGTGGAGCTGGTGGTCGCTGGTCGGTGGAGCCGGTTGTGGTTGATAGCAAATTGTGTTACTCTGGCTTAGAATGTAATGTAAGTTTGTAATGTTTATGTACATTTCTATGTGGTAGGATTAGGGTGATTGTAAGAGTATTGTTTTATATTTATGTAACTGTTGTATGAGTGTGGCGATTGTTAATGTTTGATTATTGCTGATTGAAGGTGTTTCTTGTTAATATATTGAGCATTCCAACATTGTGTTTGCTACTCCTCTCCTATAGTGATGTAGAATACCTGAGTAAGACTGAATAGTGCAGCAGCAATAGGCTAAACACGAGGTGAAATGCAAGTAAACAAAACGTTCGGGTCTGTGGGGGTCGGTTACCGCCCGGTTCCTGGTAAGATGTCCAGCTCAGGAACAACTACATTACACATTATTTGACCCATGGCCATAACATAAGTAGTATACACTACACAGTATTTGACCCATGACCATAACATAAGCAGTATACAGTCTGTGCGGAAAGTTAGTTAGTTCTGCTAAGAGAAAAATGCATATTTACTATTATGTTATATAAATAAAGTCAAGTAACAGTTGCCACTTCAATTAATACTTTGTTATGTTCCCTTTGTGCTTCAGGCAGTCCTTTAGCAAGGTTTTGCAAGAGATCAGGTGGCAAGTTAGCCCAGATATCCTTGATAGCTGCCTGTAGCTTCAGGATTGATGATGTGTCAGTGTCGCACAAATGATGCTTAACATGGACCACAAATTTTCTATTGGGTTGAGATCTGGGCTACTGCCAGGCCGGTCATTAAAGAAAGGTACCTCACAGTCTTTGAGCCACTGTAAGGAGACGTGACTCAGAAGACGGGGGGTTTCTCTCTTTCACTTCACGTGCTGTGAGAGGGGGATTGGACCTAACTTGGCGTTTAATAACCTCAAGTGTCCATGGAGACAATAATTTAGGCTTACCAGATTTGGGTAGGGGAGCTGGCAACACGTCCTCTCCAAGTTCACGGTAACGCTTCACAAGTTTCTGCACAACCCCACACCAGTCTGAGCAGAAATATCTCAGTTCATGGTTTGCTTTGTACAATGCAATCACTGCTGCAATATCCTCCCTTGTAGTAACCCTCCTGGACATCTCTGATGGCCACTATGTCGGGGTAATGCACCGTAAAAGAGGCAAAAAATGGCCCCATGGCGAGGGAACCCACAGAGTTAACCTTCGCCTCACGATTGCCAGAGGCGCACCGAGAGTAAGCCGTGATGTGTGCTCAGTTGCCAACCAACCAAGCATACTAACATCTCGCATCCCAGGACAGCCTTCACAACATATGAACTGTACACTACACCTTTAACCTTGACAATAGTTATGTCCTTCTTACTCTAATATAAGGTTAGTGTATAAAGGAGGGGGTTAGATGGCTAATGTGGCCGGCCCACCTGGGGTCCGGGGAAACACTTGGTCAGGATGTTTTTACCACATTTGCCTTAATTTCTCACATTGTTACTCATTTTGTCAGCGCCTAATAGTTAAAATATACAGTACCCAAACTCAAACACTTATGTTTATTGCAACAATATTTTTCATTCACAGTCTTAATAATTCCTTTAAAAAAATTAGTTGTTACTAAACTTTAATTTGTTTAATATTTGTAATTGTGCACCTTTATTGAGAGAAGATAGACTAAAAGCTAAGACTTTTTAGCACTGTATTGTGTGAGAATTCAAAATTTAATACTCACCATCAACTGGGGTTTCAATAACACCTGTAAAACTTAAACAAGAAAAATAAACTTGACCCATGATAAATACAAACAAAATAGTTAGCTTTATTTCACATGTAATATTAACTCATTGTCACTTGTGTTAGTACAAGACATACTAGTACTGTACTGTACCAGGTCATCCAGTGTTGTGTTAGTACAAGACATACTGTACTGTACTGTACCAGGTCATCCAGTGTTGTGTTAGTACAAGACATACTGTACTGTACTGTACCAGGTCATCCAGTGTTGTGTTAGTACAAGACATACTAGTACTGTACTGTACCAGGTCATCCAGTGTTGTGTTAGTACAAGACATACTAGTACTGTACTGTACCAGGTGATCCAGTGTTGTGTTAGTACAAGACATACTAGTACTGCACTGTACCAGGTCATCCAGTGTAGTGTTAGTACAAGACATACTAGTACTGTACTGTACCACGTCATCCAGTGTTGTGTTAGTACAAGACATACTAGTACTGTACTGTACCAGGTCATCCAGTGTTGTGTTAGTACAAGACATACTAGTACTGTACTGTACCAGGTCATCCAGTCTTGTATTAGTACAAGACATACTAGTACTGTACTGTACCAGGTCATCCAGTGTTGTGTTAGTACAAGACATACTAGTACTGTACTGTACCAGGTCATCCAGTGCTGTGCTAGTACAAGACATACTGTACTGTACTGTACCAGGTCATCCAGTCTTGTATTAGTACAAGACATACTAGTACTGTACCAAGTCATCCAGTGTTGTGTTAGTACAAGACATACTAGTACTGTACTGCAGGTCATCCAGTCTTGTATTAGTACAAGACATACTAGTACTATACTAGGTCATCAATGTTGTGTTAGTACAAGACATACTAGTACTGTACTGTACCAGGTCATCCAGTGTTGTGTTAGTACAAGACATACTGTACTGTACTGTACCAGGTCATCAGTGTTGTGTTAGTACAAGACATACTAGTACTGTACCGTACCAGGTCATCCCAGTGCTGTGTTAGTACAAGACATACTGTACTGTACTGTACCAGGTCATCCAGTGTTGTGTTAGTACAAGACATACTAGTACTATGCCGTACCAGGTCATCCAGTGTTGTGTTAGTACAAGACATACTAGTACTGTACTGTACCAGGTCATCCAGTGTTGTGTTAGTACAAGACATACTAGTACTGTACTGTACCAGTCATCAGTGTTGTGTTAGTACAAGACATACTGTACTGTACCAGGTCATCCAGTGTTGTGTTAGTACAAGACATACTAGTACTGTACCGTACCAGGTCATCCAGTCTTGTGTTAGTACAAGACATACTAGTACTGTACTGTACCAGGTCATCCAGTGTTGTGTTAGTACAAGACATACTAGTACTGTACTGTACCGTACCAGGTCATCCAGTGTTGTGCTAGTACAAGACATACTGTACTGTACTGTACCAGGTCATCCAGTCTTGTATTAGTACAAGACATACTAGTACTGTACCAAGTCATCCAGTGTTGTGTTAGTACAAGACATACTAGTACTGTACTGTACCAGGTCATCCAGTGTTGTGTTAGCACAAGACATACTAGTACTGTACTGTACCAGGTCATCCAGTCTTGTATTAGTACAAGACATACTAGTACTGTACTGTACCGTACCAGGTCATCCAGTCTTGTATTAGTACAAGACATACTAGTACTGTACTGTACCAGGTCATCCACTGTTGTGTTAGCACAAGACATACTAGTACTGTACTGTACCGTACCAGGTCATCCAGTCTTGTATTAGTACAAGACATACTAGTACTGTACTGTACCGTACCAGGTCATCAAGTGTTGTGTTAGTACAAGACATACTAGTACTGTACTGTACCAGGTCATCCAGTGTTGTGTTAGCACAAGACATACTAGTACTGTACTGTACCGTACCAGGTCATCCAGTCTTGTATTAGTACAAGACATACTAGTACTGTACTGTACCGTACCAGGTCATCCAGTGTTGTGTTAGTACAAGACACACTAGTACTGTACTGTACCAGGTCATCCAGTGTTGTGTTAGTACAAGACATACTGTACTGTACTGTACCAGGTCATCCAGTGTTGTGTTAGTACAAGACATACTAGTACTGCACTGTACCAGGTCATCTAGTGTTGTGTTAGTACAAGACATACTAGTACTGTACTATACCAGGTCATCCAGTGTTGTGTTAGTACAAGACATACTAGTACTGTACCGTACCAGGTCATCCAGTGTTGTGTTAGTACAAGACATACTAGTACTGTACTGTACCAAGTCATCAAGTGTTGTGTTAGTACAAGACATACTAGTACTGTACTGTACCAGGTCATCCAGTGTTGTGTTAGTACAAGACATACTGTACTGTACTGTACCAGGTCATCCAGTGTTGTGTTAGTACAAGACATACTAGTACTGCACTGTACCAGGTCATCCAGTGTTGTGTTAGTACAAGACATACTAGTACTGTACTATACCAGGTCATCCAGTGTTGTGTTAGTACAAGACATACTAGTACTGTACCGTACCAGGTCATCCAGTGTTGTGTTAGTACAAGACATACTGTACTGTACTAGGTCATCCAGTGTTGTGTTAGTACAAGATATACTAGTACTGTACTGTACCAGGTCATCCAGTGTTGTGTTAGCACAAGACATACTAGTACTGTACTGTACCAGGTTATCCAGTGTTGTGTTAGTACAAGACATACTAGTACTGTACTGTACCAGGTCATCCAGTGTTGTGTTAGTACAAGACATACTAGTACTGTACTGTACCAAGTCATCCAGTGTTGTGTTAGTACAAGACATACTAGTACTGTACTGTACCAGGTCATCCAGTGTTGTGTTAGTACAAGACATACTAGTACTGTACTGTACCAGGTCATCCAGTGTTGTGTTAGTACAAGACATACTAGTACTGTACTGTACCAGGTCATCCAGTGTCTTCTCTTCACTCATTGCTACGTCTCCTCCTTCATCCACTGCTGCTGTTGTGTCGTTCTTCTCCTCCTCTTCTGTGGTGCCCCCACTTGTTCCTCCTGTTGAGGCTGTGGTGGCAGTGGTAGTGGTAGTTGTGCTGGTGAGAGCATCGACGTCTTTTAAAAGGGAAGGTACGGGGGCGGTGGTTCGTAGACCCTGACGTACGTGAGACAGCAGGTCCTGGGTGGCGCTCTCGTACAGGTCAAAGCCTATCTGATAAGCCATCAGCTCGTTGTCCTGAAGTGAAACAAAATAATTGGAAATGATTTTAAAAAGTGGATTTATCATAATACACCAAATAAACAAATATGTATGATAGACAATCACTTTAAATAATATAAACATTGCTTGAAACATTATATTATCAGTAGAATCCCAATGTTTAGGCACTTCAAATCTTAAAAAGACAAAGGCCAAAATAAGCAACAAAACTCCCCAAAAGTTGGTCAATATTTTACCTGTGAGGAATATTACAATATTAGTCAAATTCAATTTGTTGCCAAAATAGCTAATATTTATTAATGTTGTCAATTAAAACTTTGTTGCTTCTCAGAGAAAGCACGAACCAAATAAAAAGTGTCATTTACAGGTGTTCACAGAATGTTTCTGCAATGCAGCCTCACTTGGTACATTTTCCTTGCTGTATTTCTCCAAACAATAAATTACAGTTTCCACAGTAATGTTGTCATAAGCAAATGCCATGCACAGATCCAGTGAAAATTGATATTGGCGACCAGAAGCTGTATACTGTACTGTATGGAGTAAGAAGACAAGTACTCTGTTGACCAGTTTTGTGAACAGTGGCAGCTCTGTCCATAAAAGTTGACCAACACAGTACTTGTTCTCATAGTTCACTGACTTTGTCCACATAAGGGTAAAATAACACTGTACTGCCACATCTATACACAATACATTGTTACCAAACACTTCAACTACATTGATTACTTTTGAAGAAGGACTCACTTCAGACAATGTAAGTGAAATGTGTCCAGCAGTGTTTGAAAGAGAACTAACTGACAAGACTACACAGGAGGAAGCACCGGCTGCCGGGGACGGACGGACGGACGGGCGGGTGGGCGCACGCACACACTGTGACCACCGACGGGTCAAGACGCACCTGGCGCTGCTCAGCAGCAGCCACGTCAACTGTTATGTTGGCCCATACCAAATCCCTCCCCTGAACCCCGCCTCCCCACTGGAATATCAACAAGTTCTCACCAGAAGTTACTATTTCATTTAGGAAAGGAATGGAACCAGTGTTGAATAGCGGTGTGTGCTTAAGGCAGTGAAAAACTACTCGGCAGTAACAGTTGAGTCTTACCCAAGCTAACCTTCACACAGTGAGGTCCCAGATACCCAGTGATAATTGCCCAAGACTCCACGATGGGGAGGCCTGGGACCACACCGTCCTGTGACACCAGACCACGTGGTGTCCCCATGATGCTACGACACCACGTAGTGAATGAGTTGCTACATCATCATGTGAGGCTCCTCAGAACACCATCTGTGAGGGAATTACTACACCATGTGATGCCCATCATAACACCATCTGAGGGAATTATTATACCACATCAGGCCCCTCATAACACCATCTGTGAAGGAATTACTACATCATCAGGCCCCTCATAAATCCATCTGTGAGGGAATTACTATATCATCAGGCCCCTCATAATACCATCTGTGAGGGAACTACTACTCCATGTCAAGCCCCTCATAACACCATCTGTGAGGGAAGTACTACTCCACGTGATGCCCCTCATAACACCATCCGTGAGAACTACTACTCCATGTGATGCCCCTCATAACACCATCTGTGCCGTGAGAACTACTACTCGTGATGCCCCTCATAACACCATCTGTGAGGGAACTACTACTCACGTGATGCCCCTCATAACACCATCTGTGAGGGAACTACTACTCCACGTGATGCCCCTCATAACACCATCTGTGAGGGAACTACTACTCCACGTGATGCCCCTCATAACACCATCTGTGAGGGAACTACTACTCCACGTGATGCCCCTCATAACACCATCTGTGAGGTAGTTACTACACTTCGTGTCTGCTGTTCAACACCTCAGCTCACATGATCTACGTGACCTCCACTGTAAACATTAATCTGTATGTTCACTGTATGTTCCTTTACCTTTCTCTAATGAAGGCTTTTGTTAAACCACCAATGTCAATGTATGTATTAAGTCATTTATGACCAATGTATATTTTCAGCCCTCGGGCTGCAGAACTTTTTCAATAAACCGTTAATTATTATTATTATTATTATTACTTTGCTGTCACTCGGAATCGAGCATGACGATCATCCAGCTATGACACAGTAGAAAGTCGCTATAACGCGAGATACGTTCCAAGAGAGGTCACTTTAAACCGAATTCGCACTAAATCCAAGTGTTGTTTCAATGGAATAATTTAGTTTGGTACTTGAGAGAAACACAAAATACTAAAAAGACTGACAGTCTACCCAGATGCACCTCAGCCCATCTCCAAGAAAAAACAAAGCATTGTTTGTTTTTTGTCGTATTATGTTAAAAGAAACACTCATAAATCAACACAGCTAAGATTAAGGGATGCGAAATGGTCTGTTTACTGGCTGGGAAGATGGGGGGGGGGGGGGGAGGGAGGTGATGTGTTTGACAGTTGATGCAAAGGTCTAGTGCTTATTTATTTATCTGTTCTTAAGAGTGACTAAGTTTTTCTCTTATAAAATTTCACTGAACTGACCTGGGAGAGTATAATTAACATTGCTGGAATTCTTATAAGATAGCGATTAGTTTGAATATATACATGCTATGGTTCGCATTAGACATACAAATTTTAGTTTTAACTAATTGTATTACAAAGGGCTAAAATTTTTATCTCTTGTGCAAAATATATGAAGTTTAAATATTCAAATTATTCGTTGACTTACAAGGATTCTAGCAATGCAAAGTATATTCTCTTAACTTTAGTCTGAGATATTATAGAAGATAAAATCTGCAAGTCTATAACCACCCAACCCTGGCTGGGAAGATTGGGAGAGTAACAGTGACATGTTTGACAGTTGGGGCCTAAGATCTAGTGAAGTATTAATTTGTTTATTTATGTCCTTAGATAGAGTTTTTGTTTTTTGTTTGTAAGATGTCACAGAAGTGACCGGGGAGAATATAATTTACATTGCTGGAATTCTCATAAGAAAGTGATTAATTTGAATATACAGTGGGGTATGCTATAACGAATCTAATTGGTTCTAGAACCTTGTCCGTTATAGCATTCGTTCGTTATAGGATTAATCCGTTCCAGGACCCCAAATACAACCACTTAACACTGAAAAATATAATATAAAATTGTAAAATTTTTAAAAAAGTGCATAAATATGCATCTAAACCCCTGAAATAAAGAATATCATTAATGCTTGTGATAAAAAAAACAATAAATTAGTAAAAAAAAAAAAAAATTTTCGTTGTAGGAGTTTCGTTCGTTATAGCATTCTCAATTTTATAGGTAAAACCGTTCGTTATAGGAATATTCGTAGTAGGATCCATTCGTTATAGCATACCCCACTTTAATCATACTATAGTTTGCACTAGGGAAAAATTTTAGTAAAAATATAAGAACATAAGAATGGAGGAAACTGCAACAGGCCTATTGGCCCATACTGGGCAGTCCTAATTACACCCAACCCCTATTGCTCATATATCCATCCAACCTATGTTTGAAGCTATTCAGCGTATTTGAGTTAATGATGATGTTTGGTAACTTGTTCCACTCATCCACTACTCCATTTCCAAACCAATGTTTACTTATTTCGCGCCTAAATCTAAATTTGTCTAATTTAAAACCATTATTACAAGTTCGCTCCTGGTTGGATAGTTTTAGTACCTTTGTAATGTCCCCTTTGTTTAGCCCTGACTTCCATTTACAGTGGTCCCTCGGTTAACGAACGCCTCGGTTAACGAATTACCTTCAATAAGAATATTCAATTCGGTTAACGAAATTCTTACGAAAATGTTTCGACATACTTTGACTTGCTCACCAGCTGGAAGATTAGTCCACCAATACAGAAATCGGTTCTAGGGCTTACATTCATTAAAATTGGAGTAAATATCAAGAAGGTTGTACTATTCAATAATTTTCCAAGTCTTATATTAAATTTTTTAGTAATTTTAACACTTATTTAACATAATTGCAGTACAGGGAACTAGTATTTGGTGCGCCCATCAGCCACTTTACTCACCCACCAAGGCCTCAGTTTGTATCTCTGTTCAGTGGAGGAAACATCTTGCTTGTGGGTCTCTTGAACACAGAGTATTTTTATGTTTTTACAGTACAATTATTGGTCATTCTGAAATTTATTTAACATATTGACAATATATAGTGCAGTGCAGTGTTGATTTAAAGAAAAGAATCTTGAATTATACCTAGTGAACTTAAAAATTTATGGGTGAAATGACGACATCAAGCATGGGGTGATTTCTCTTCCACTTCCTTCTCTTCTCCCTTCTCCTCCACCCCCACTACTAATTCCCATCATCATCATCATCATCATCATCAACCAGGAGCCTTCTACATACACACCTCAAAGTAAGTGTACTTTACTGAATTTTTTTTTACTTTGTATGTAATTTTCGGTGAGCTGGAACAAATTACCCAAAATCCCATTGAAACAATGGTTTCGGTTAACGAACGACTTTGTGGAACGAATTGTGTTCGTTAACCGAGGGACCACTGTATACACCTCGATCATATCGCCCCTCACTCTACGTCTCTCGAGGGAGTGTAAATTAAAATGCTTTAACCTGTCTCTGTACTCAAGGTTCCTAATGCCCGGGATTAGTCTTGTCATTCTTCTCTGAATTCTTTCCAAGGATTCTATAACCACTCTGTAGTACGGTCACCAGAACTGAACTGCATAATCCAAGTGAGATCTCACAAGCGCAAGATATAGTTTTAGGATGACCTCGCTAGTCTTGTAACTAACACTCCATTGTATGAACCCAAGTACTTTATTAGCCTTGTTTCAAGCAAATACACATTGTTTACTTGGCGTAAGATTCCTACTTATCATTACTCCTAAATCTTTCTCGCAGTCGGATTTCTCAATAACATCGTTGTTCATCTGGTATCTGGTGTCCCTGTTTACATCTCCTACACTGAGTACTTTACATTTGTCCACATTGAATTTCATCTGCCATTTTTCAGACCATTAAATTTTTTTTTTAGATCTGCTTGTAGTTTTGTGGAGTCCTCATCAGATTTAATTACATGCCCTATTTTAGTGTCATCAGCAAATTTACTTATGTTGCTGTCTACACCGATATCTATGTCGTTTATGTATATAATAAATAATAATGGTCTGAGTACTGAGCCTTGGGGAACTCCACTAGTAACGTTGCTCCAATGGGATTTAGTGCCGTTAATGCTCACTCGCTGTTTCCTGTCCTGTAGCCACGCCCTAATCCATTTTAGAATATCTCCGTTAATGCCACGAGCCTCCACTTTTCTTATTAGTCTTTCGTGGGGGACTCTGTCAAAGGCTTTGCTAAATTCAAGATATACCACATCATAATTGTGCCTCTCGTTCACTGATTCGAAAACAGATGAAAAGAATGTTAATATATTAGTTAGACATGAATACCCGCTTGTGAAGCCATGTTGGGAATCAATGATCAACTTGTGCTTCTCCAGGTGATTTCAAATACTTGTAGTTTGAAATTATTGCTTCCAGTAAATGTAATAATAATTACAATATAAATAATAATAATTAGTTCAAAGTATTTAAAATTTATAATAAATACAAAATTAAAAAATAAATAATAATAAAACTGATAATAATAATAAAGAACCATATATAAACAATTATTCAATCAAATACACATTCAGTAATAAACAATAATGAATCTTTTGTACATATTCTTAAGATAAATGACTATGTTTACTTGAGTGCGCACGTATGCATTGGCGTTCCATTATCAGTCTCACTTTTTTTTTAATATCAGTGGTTACTTCTACTGTACATTAAATAACATTACAGCTACTCCTCGACTTACGACCTACTCAACTTATGACCATCCGGACATACGACCGCCTCAGTCGTACCAAAATTTTCAAATTACGTATTTTCGATTCCCGACGTCAGTGATTGCGCTGTGTACTGACAAAATTTTTGTTTGTAATTCAATTTAAAATGGCTGGCAAGCTTAAAAGTGAGAGTTTTGTGGTGCTGAGAAGATTTTCTATGTATTATTTAAGCATTTTTGACTTACAACCTGGATTTAGGTCCCTAACCCTGTCGTAAGGTGAAGGAGCAGCTGTAATAAAAACATACAAATTTTTTACATTAATTTGACTACAACAACAACCAGGGTCTTATTTTCTTCAGTTTCAGGTGGATAACTGACATTATGGCTGTAAACACTGACAACAATGCTGTCTCTTATCCTCTTGTGTGTTTTAATTTCTACGTATTATTAATGAATTGTATTGTTCATTTCACATATATAAACATTAATTCAATCAAATACATATTCAGTAATAAACAATAATGAATCTTTTGTACATATTCTTAAGATAAATGACGCGGAATCCTTAAATGCGCACGTATATGTTGGTGTTCCCAATCCATCTTTATTTTTCTTTGCCATTAGTGGTTAGCTACTTCGATTGTTCCATTTATTAACATTAAATAACGTTACTTAAAACATGTATATTAATTTTTTTACAACCAGGGTCTTATTTTCTTAGTTTTCTCGTGTAGAACTATCGTCCCGGATTCCCGGCTGTAAACACAAAGGAAAACAATGGTGTCCCATCTCCTCTTGTGTGACCATATTATTATTCATTTATATTGTATAAGGACCATTCAGAAACATTATTTAAAGAATATAGTTTGCAATTTTCATTAATTGTATTGATTTTGGGGGAAAAGAGGGTAAAACGCCACACAAAAGATATGAAAAGGTCACACTTGGGAACGCATCTCATTATTATTGCTTTATTTTAATGGTAATTAATGATTCGCTATAAGATGATTCACCTCACACTGCAATATTGGAGGACATATTAACGACGTTATTCGAGGCTTTACCGTACATAACTTTCTTCATTTATTTCTACTTAATTACAGGCACACACCGTCCTACATACTTATTGTAAAAAATTAAAGGAATATTTGTCATAAGGACAAACACAAAGGGAGCGGGAGGAGGGTGCAGAGTGGGGGGATTGCTAGGGAGACAGTGGAGGCTGCGTCCCTCATGGTCTATGGTGAACCAGGGAGTGTATGTAAATGGTGACTGTGTTAAACATTCATTTGGATTTTATTTACTGGTTTGGCAATACAGTGAACCCTCACTTTACGCGGTCAATTGAACCCAAGGCCCGCGAAAAGTGAGAAACGCGTTAAGTGAACAACATAACATATGGGATTAATTGAAATAGAGACCGGGCCGACCCCCAAACTCCACTTTTTCAGACACAATACCTACGTTGTAGTAAAATTACTTCTTAATTTTATGATGGTATGCACACACAATTAACAATTAAGAGAAATATCAATAATATTAGGTTTTTTAACACTTACATTAGTAGAAAAGATGGCTGGGCACACGGGGATGGGGGGTGGGTTCCGAGGCAGAGGGCAGATTATTGGCCCTCACCTGTATCACTTGTATCAATTGTATCATTATCCACCACAGAGGCTTGCAGGGCCTCTTTGTCAAGCCCCTCAAAGTCCATATAAGTGCATATCCTCACTATCATTATCACTGACTTGGGCCAGCTGTGGTGGGTGGCAGGTGAAGAACTCGGTAATGTTTTGATGACTGGGCGACCTTGTGCGCACCCTACTCGCACAGCTCTCTGCGTAAAAGGGTACACACACCGCAGAAAGTGAGCATTCCGTGTTCGGCAGGGTACCGCGTAAACGTGGAAACGCGTAAAGTGGGACCGTACAAAGCGAGGGTTGACTGTACAGTATTTTCTGTTGCAACTTATTTATTGTTATTTATTCCTCACATTTACTGGTACTGTATACAGTATATTATTCTAAGAAAACTATGGCTACAGGAGGAAAATACACACCAAAGTTTTTACAGTACCTTAATACTGGGGGGTGGGTGGCCGTGTGTCTTATATGGCGTTATCTCCCCCAGCCATACACTCACTGTTTCCTAAGCCAAGAGCATTAAGTTGAATGTGCGTAAGATGCGACATGACTGTATTAGCAATAAAACAGGACAACACACTTACCATTACTTCACTCCTCAGACTGTCGTTCTTAATCAGCTTATCGAGTATTGAAGCGACCTCGTGGGGTTTGTCCAAGTGGATCAAACACTGACACATGTTGACGTAGTCTGGGGTGTCCAGACCTTGGTACAACGACACCAACTGTTCCAAAACTTGGTCGCGGAACTTGCGCTGCTCTATGTATTGCATGGCTATCTTGTACGAGTAGGTCAGACTCCCTACGATGTCATCCTGTAATATAATATAAACTAATATTCTTTTTCTCATATAAATCATGATAATTGACCATCTCATAACAGTAGAGTACATTCAGATACTTCTAATGGTCACTTGTGATCTGAGAGTACTGTACAGCACAGTATCTGCCTAGACACCTCATACTGGCCTCTAAACACAGTACAGAGGGAAGCAAACCTTTCATAATACCAGCTGCTTACAAACTTTAGTTCAACACTTGACATAATGTGATAACAAAGCAAGATTGAGAACCTTATACTGATAATACTTTAAACACACACACACAAATAATAATAATAATAATGGTTGCCCCTTGTGTTCGAGGATGGCTGACCCTAGGGCCACCTAGGCGTAAATTTGTTTAAGGTGTAGAAGCTAACGCCGACACAACAACCACACCCTAAGTTAACGAGTTATAAGACCCAGTGTTTAAGGTGTAGAAGCTGCCACCAACACAACAACCACACCCTAGGGTTAACAAGCTGCATGACCCAGTGTTTAAGGTGTAGAAGCTGTCGCCAGCACAACAACCACACCCTAAGTTAACAAGCTGCATGACCCAGTGTTTAAGGTGTAGAAGCTGTTGCCAGCACAACAACCACACCCTAAGTTAACAAGCTGCATGACCCAGTGTTTAAGGTGTAGAAGCTGTCGCCAGCACAACAACCACACCCTAAGTTAACGAGCTGCATGAACCAGTTTTAGGTGTAGAAGCTGTGACCTACTATACCTTACTACTACTTAGCTGTCACTCGGAATCCAGTGTGACGATCATCCAGCTATGATACAATGATATAAGTTATTAAGGATGTCACCTTAGCTGGTGAGCTCTGAGGTGACTCAAGAGGCCTATATGAGATTGAGAGGGCCATCCAGAGATGTTGCATGTGTGGAGGGCTACATGTACACCTGGAACAAGAGTTTAGAAATATAAATATATTAAGTAGAGTAGAGTACAGCCTTACTCACAGAGGTCATGATGGCCTCCCTGAACCAGTCCATGCGGTGGGTCTCCAGGGCTATACCTATGGCATGGCGGTACTGCTGGTCTTCAATACACCGCTGAAACATGTTGTTGAGGAGCGTCTCTAGTCGGGGATCCATCTTGGCATCCTTCTGGGCTCGTAGCTTGATGTAATGATCGATGGCGTGTACTGGGGACACATATAACTGTTATATAACCACACACACAAACACACACCCACTATTTTGCTGTCACTCAGAATCGAGTACAAAGATCATCCAGCTATGATACAATGATATGAGTTATTAAGGATGTCAACTTCGTTGGTGAGCTTTCAGGTGACTAGAGAGGCTGATACGGGATCAGCAGGCCCATCCACAGATGTTACACTTGTGGAGGGCTACATCTAGTGCGGGAGTGGGAACGGCAGCATCTTACCGGCGTTGGTGCTTGTCTGCCTCGGTGTGCAATCGGGCTAAATTAAATGTATTGACACCTTCTCGTGTGGTGCTCCTCTAAGCGTTACAGTGTAGAGTGATCACCTCCCAGGTGAGGGGGTCAATTTTGCACCTTTTCAGGTTTTTCTTAACCTAACCTAACCTATCCTTATACCTTTTCAGTTGCCCGCTGGCATTATGCTTACTATTCGTTAGGTGACTGTAAAGTAGCTGCTTTGGCAGTGTACTGTCGTCCATGTGGGTAACATGGCCAGTCCAGCGTAGTTGTTCGTGGATAATGGTAGCCCTGATGCTCCTACAGTTGGTGTCAGCGAGAATACTGGCATTTGTTCTCTCGTCTTCCCAGCGAACTCGGAGGATGGAACGTAGACTACGTTGGCGAAAGATTTCAAGTGCCCTGAGGTGCCTCCTGTATGTGACCCATATCTCGCTGCCAAACAGCTTAAGATATGGGTAAAGAGTCTGCCAAAGGCTCCAGATGCACGTCTGATCCGATGCTAAATCTTTTCATCGATGCCCGTGGTGGTGGACTATTTGAAGCCAAGACACTGTAAATGGGTAATATTAGAGAGGGAAGTACTGTTAAGCTGGAAGGATGGTGGAGGCGTGTCTGAACCAGGGGTAAGTTGAAAGAGAATCTGAGTCTTACGTACATTCACCTCAAGGCCGAAGTGTGCATACGCATCTGTGTGGGTGTTTAGGATCTCCTGTAGGTCACGTTCAGTGTGAGCGACAAGGGTGAGGTCTTCTGCATACTGAAGTTCAGTAATGGAAGCTGCTAACACCTTTGTTCTTGCCTGGAATTGTCTTCTGTTGAAAAAATCCTTCACCAGGTACTCGATGTCAACCCGACTGGCTAAATTGGCACTGGCACAAGAAAGGAAGGCAGCTAAGAAAATTGAATAGAGAGTTGGTGCCACTACAGATCCCTGTTTTAACCCCGTTTGGATGGGGAAGAACTCAGACTGGGTGCCTTTGTGCAGGACACTGCCATTCGTACCATCGTGGTGTTGCCTCACAATGGCGATGAATTGTGGTGGGCAGCCAAAACGGCTGAGGATCACCATAGGGCGTCCCCGTTGACCTAGTCAATGAAGGTCACGACGCTGTTCTCTGCACTTTTCCTGTATCTGACGGGCAGCAAAGATCATGTCAGTGGTGCCACGTGATGGTCTAAAGCCACATTAAGATTCTGGGAGGAAGTTTTCCACCTCAGGAAGAACGAATAAACAAATGGACACACACACACACACCCTTTAGTTGTCTTGAAAATTAACTATTTCTTCTCACCTTGTATTCTGATACAGGTAATAACTATAAATTAAAACAGTTTATTGTGATAAGGCAATATCAAGTAGGAAGTATCACAAAACAATGAAAAGATTGTCCATGTTCTTACTAAAATATACTACTGATTTATGTATAAGAGTTGCCTAGACAACAGCTCACCTTTGATGGTGTCAATGTACAGTTGGTTGGGGTCCTGGTGCAACATGGGACCTGAGCGCAGGGCATAGGTGAGAGAGTCCAGGTAAGACCCCAGGTGGAAGTAAACTTTAGACACCAGCAGGGCTGCCAACTCTTGCTTTGGGAAGTCTCCATCCTCTTCAAGTCTTTCTCTGTTGGTTAGCCATTAAAGCACAAAGTAAGTTATCATTAATAATATACTGTACTGTCCCTAGCTTACTACTGTATTATGTTCTTATGTACTGTACCTAGCTTACTACTGTATTATGTTCTTATGTACTGTACCAAGCTTACTACTGTATTATGTTCTTATGTACTGTACCTAGCTTACTACTGTATTATGTTCTTATGTACTGTACCTAGCTTACTACTGTATTATGTTCTTATGTACTGTACCTAGCTTACTACTGTATTATGTTCTTAGGGTCCGACTAATTACCAAAATGTACCCGCAATGAAGTCAAATAATGGTTCTACATGAATAAATCGGACTGCCAATCACTTCTCGACTAGTATTTGGTGTCACAAAGTAAAAAAAAAATTGGAAAACGTAATTTAATCTGAGTTTATAGATCAAATGCATGTACCGAGGGAGCGAGTAATTACCCAAATGTACCCAAACGTAGCCGCAATGAAGTCAAATGATGGTCCTACAAGAATAAATCGGACTGCCAATCACTTCTCGATTGGTATTTGGTGTCACGAAGTCACAAAAAATTGGTAAACTTAATTTAATCTGAGTTAATAGATCGAGTGCATGTACCTAACCTAACACAACTCGGATTAAATTAAGTTTACCAATTTTTTGTGACTTTATGACACCAAATAATAATCGAGAAGTGATTCACAGCCCGATTTACGCTTGTAGGACCATCATTTGACTTCATTGCGACTACATTTGGGTAATTACTCGCTCCCTTAGTACATGCACGTGATCTATTAACTCAGATTAAAGTAAGTTTTCCAATTTTTTGTGACTTTGTGACACCAAATACTAGTCGAGAAGTGATTGGCAGTCCGATTTATTCATGTAGAACCATTATTTGACTTCATTGTGGCTACATTTGGGTACATTTGGGTAATTAGTTGGACCGATGTTCTTATGTACACACACACAACATATTTTCACTTTACCAAAGGAATAATTATAACTTACATCTTCTGTATGGAGTCAGCTATCTCGGGCCAGAAGGTGTCGGTGATCTCATTTAATCTCTCCAGGGCAAACACTCTCAGCTGATCTTCATTCTCGTCCAGCAGGGCCAAGATGCCCGCTATAACCACATCAAAAGGAACAAATTAGTTTGGTAAATGTTCACAGTAATATTCACATTCTATTACCTCATGAACTTTATTTAACCTTAATATTTAACACCCCAGTGCTACTTGGGGGCTAAGTTACCATTAAGGTGTATTATAATAGTTCTGTACTGTGCTGTACTGTACTGTTATGTTCTGTACTGTTCTGTACTGTACTGTACTGTACTGTACTGTACTGTACTGTACTGTACTGTACTGTGCTGTGCTGTACTGTGCTGTACTGCACTGCACTGCACTGCACTGTACTGTACTGTTCTGTTCTGTACTGTACTGTACTGTACTGTACTGTACTGTACTGTACTGCACTGCACTGCACTGTTCTGTACTGTTCTGTACTGTTCTGTTCTGTACTGTACTGTACTATACTGTACTATACTGTACTGTACTGTTCTGCATTGTACTGTTCTATACTGTTCTGTACTGTTCTATACTGTTCTGTACTGTACTGTACTGTTCTGTACAAGTGGTCCCTCGGTTAACGAACACAATTCGTTCCACAGAGTCGTTTGTTAACCGGAAATTTTGTTAAACGAATCCATTATTTCAATGGGATATTGGGTAATTGGTTCCTGCTCACAGAAAAGTATACTATACAAAGTAAAGCCAAAAATGCATATAGTCAGACACTCCAAAAATTCCCATAAATCAATATATATATATATATATATATATATATATATATATATATATATATATATATATATATATATATATATATATATATATATATATATATATATATATATATATATATATATATATATATATATATATATATATATATATATATATATATATATATATATATATATATATATATATATATATATATATATATATATGCTGATAACCACAAGGAAAGAAGAAAACACGAAGTTCCCAAGCGCTGTAATTCACATCTTCAGGGGTGAGTACAGACTGTATTAAGGATTGCAAATTCGAATTCAATGGGGAATATTATGCTCAAAAATTTGGTATGGCAATGGGTAATCCACTCTCACCTGTATTAAGCAACCTATATATGGAATTCTTTGAAAAGAAACTATTAAGTAATATTTTACCACCCTCAGCAGTCTGGTTTAGATATGTTGATGATGTATTATGTCTCTGGCCATGTAATGAGGACCTAAAAGCTTTCCTGCCACAACTTAACAACTTAGCCCCCTCGATCAAATTCACTGTGGAATTAGAGCAAGACTGTATATTGCCATTCCTAGACTGTCTGATACACAGAATAGGTAACACTTTTAAGTTCAGTATCTATAGAAAACCAACTAATGTGTGTTCATACATTCATTATTATTCTGCCCACCATAATAAAGTCAAACAGTCAGTATTTTCAACAATGTTCTTACATGCCTTGAGAATTTGCAGTCCGGAATTCATCGATGAGGAATACAAATAGTATACAGTCAACCCTCACTTTACGCTGTCCCACATTCCGTGTTTCCACGTTTACGCGGTGCCCTGCCAGAACCCAGGATGCTCACATTCCGCGGTGGATGTACCCCTTTACACGGTGAAGTATAATTTTTTTTAATTTAGCTCATAAAATTCATACAAATTATCCGGCCAGAATATAATTTACATTGCTGGAATTCTTACAATTTGATGATCATTTTGAATATAAACATCATAGATTTTGCATTAGACATACAAATTTTAGATATAATGTTTACTCTTGAGTAAATATGTTATCTTTTGTGCAAAATATATGATATTTATATTCAAAATATTCCTGGTCTTACAAGGAATCCAGCAATGTCAATTATATTATCCTAACTTTAGTCTGATTTATTATTTATTACTAAAAAGGTAAACAGTCTGGTATTCCCACACATTTATCTAGTAGGGACGTTGGTGGAGGTGGGGGGTGGGGAGGGAGGGAGGGACCGGCGACCGACCATCTGTTACCGTGTGAAGAATTTTTTTTTTTTATTAACTGAAGATTTTTATTTTAGCTCATAAAATTCATACAAATTACCCGGCCAGAATATAATTTACATTGCTGGAATTCTTACAATTTGGTGATCATTTTGAATATAAACATCATATATTTTGCATTAGACATAAAATTTTTAGATAAAATGTTTAATCTGAGTAAGTATGTTATCTTTTGTGCAAAATATATGACGTTTATATTCAAAATATTCCTGGTCTTACAAGGAATCCAGCAATGTCAATTATATTATCCTAACTTTAATCTGAGGTATTATTTAATACAAAATGTTAAAATCTAAATTTTTCACCCCACATCTCTTGAAGGGAGGATTGGTGGGGGGTGGGGGGGAGGGTTGGGACTGACCGCGCGGTTGGAAGAGGGGGGGAGGCAAGGTGGGGTACTTTGATTGACAGATAGTGTCGTGAAGATTATTTTTTTTTTTATTAACTGAAGATATTTGTTTTAGCTCATAAAATTCATACAAATTACCCGGCCAGAATATAATTTACATTGCTGGAATTCTTACAATTTGGTGATCATTTTGAATATAAACATCATATATTTTGCATTAGACATAAAATTTTTAGATAAAATGTTTAATCTGAGTAAGTACTGTATGTTATATTTTGTGAAAAATATATGACATTTATATTCAAAATATTCCTGGTCTTACAAGGAATCCAGCAATGTCAATTATATTATCCTAACTTTAGTTTGAGGTATTATTTATTACTATACCTGGTTTTCCCCCCAAAATTTCTCAGAGAGGGAAGAGCCGGCAGTGTAGTGTGAGAGGGGGAGGGAGTCGTGTCCATTATTTGAATGGACATTAACTTGGCGACTGTATTTCTCTATTTCTCTTAAGTATTAATTGTGTGCATGTACCATCATAAAATTAAGATGTTATTTTTACTACAACATAGTTATGTGTCGTCAAAAAGTGGAGTTTGGGGATCGGCCTGGACTCCATTCCGTGAATGTATTATATCAACCACAGTATGAATAGAATATCACTAATATAACAGTACTTTAACCGAAAACTATTAAAAAAACGAGTAACATATCTTGAACATCGAAAGGTTTGGTAAAGTCTTCTGTTTTCGTCATGTAGTTTATCCTAATTTACATTGAAATACATGACGTTTCTGCAAAACTACTATTTATTTCTGAGAATATGGAAATTAATATTTTTGCTGAAATGACGTACGTATTATAGTGGAAAGTGGGATAAAATCGTGACAAAAACAATAACTTTCGCTTTCTTTAGTTGAAAAGATGTTACCGTAATCGCTTTTCGAATGGTTTCAGTTAAAAACTGTTGTATTACAATAATATTCTCTCCTAATTCACTTGTGATGTAACAGTTTTTTAACTGAAAACGATTCGAAAAACACGTGTACCGTCTAGCTGATACGGCAGAGCCCTGGCCGCGGAGGCTTTGTGTTTGCATCGGCCCTTCTTAAGCAGCTTTTAATTTTAGCGTACGTCAAAATTGTGTTTACCGGTATATTTTTATTTTCTTGCTTCTTATTTTCCAGAAATATGACAAGTTTGTATATAATACAATGTTACGGTACTTTTAATTAACAAGTATTCATTTTTAAAAATACAGAAGACACCAAACAAATACCAGTACTACGGTTATTTGCGTGACTCTCCCGCCAAAAAAGACCAAACAGCTGGTACTCTCTCCCTCAGCCCTACCAAAAATAGCCCAACGACATCTTTCTTCTTTATTCTCTTCCAATTTCACACTTTAACTGGAATTTTTTACTTCATATTGCCTACATCAGATAAACTACAGTAATTGAGGTTAGACACTTATAAATTTGATTACCGGGTCCTGGCAGGTGCCGTTAGAACCACCTGACCCTACCAACAGTGTTGCAAGTCAGACAGCATTTTTTTAATCATCCATGTGCACGAGAAAGGATGGATGGATGAAGGCGGCATACAAATATGGCTTAAAAAAGTCTGGAACTTTAGACCAGGGGGACTGCGCAAAGAAAAAAGTCTTCTTGTGTGGGATATGTTTCGGTCACATCTTGTTGACAGTGTAACTGCTGGGATTAGGAAGGAAAACACTGATACAGCTGTGATTCCTGGTGGATTAGCAAGTCTTGTCCAACCACTGGATGTTTCCATAAACAAACCATTTGAAGATGCGGTAAGAGTGAAGTGGAACAACTGGATGATAGAAGGCAATAAGACATACACAAAGGGAGGCAATATCCAAGCTCCATCACTAGCAACATTATGTGAATGGATTGTAGAGGCCTGGGATGCAATCAGACCAGAAATTGTGGTGAAATCTTTTTAGAAATGTGGGATTTCGAATGCTCTTGATGGAACAGAAGACGACTTGTTGTGGGATTATGAGGCTAATGAGAGCGTGAATGAGGATGAAGATATTGATGATCCTATGGCTGATGATGGTGTTGATCCATATGACGATGCTGTTCAAGGAGAGGACTGGGAGGAGCTGTTTGGCGCTGCAGATGATTACAAGGAAAATGATTTTGATGGATTTTAATGAAAATATTCAGAAATATGGTATCGTAGTATTTATTCAAGTCAATTAGGATAGAATATTATTGTAATACAACAGTTTTTTAACTGAAAACCATTCGAAAAGCGATTGCGGTAAAATCTTTTGAACGACGAAAGAAAGTGAAAGTCATTGTTTTCGTCACAATTTTATCCCACTTTCCACTGTAATACGTACGTCATTTCAGCAAAAATATTACATTTCCATATTTATTTCTGAGAATATATTCATTCAGGCACAGTTAAGGTAAAATATACTTGTGATGTAATATTTCAATGAAAATATTTATAAATAAGGTATCGTATTTTTCTTTTGTTTCAAATTTAATTAACAAAGATTGATGTTTCAAATTTAATTAACAAAAATTTATGTATCTATAAATAAACTTTTAAAAATGAATACTTTATGTTTTACATACTCCTGTGCATACCATACCATGCATTTGGCTACTTTGGGCTTGCTATGATGACGCAAGAGATCTGCCCTGGCAACT